AGAGGGGAGGGGAGGCAACAGAGAGAGACAGACAAAAGACAGTAACTTACTGTCAGTCAGTCAGCCAACTTGGGGGAAGGAATTGTGGGCGGCGCACCCCGGGCAGGTGCTGGAAAGACATTCATTACCTTAATTGTTATTGTGGAAAGACCGGTAAAACCGGTGATTGTCTTCGCCCCGGAGCGGACTCTGGCGCGCTGGGTGGGCGGTACCGATGATTACAGATGGCCGAAGCACAAAGGCGCGGTGAATACCGTATTTATGGTTTTACTGGAACGTTACGGATGGTTCTGGTCCGGTTGTCGGTCTGGAAGGCCCAGGTACGGTTCGTTGAATTGCGACAAGCCTAACTACATTACAGCAGTCTACGAGTAACTAGTAGTTAACTCGTAGGTAGTCGGTCCATGTTGCCTCCACCATGTCCGAGCCCTCGTTTGGGGTTTTGTTTGACTGTGGCCAGGTCCCAGGTCCATATGTCATGTACGCCCCTTTGCTCTCCATGTCTCATGTATATGGACTGGGACTTGAGATTGGTTTTGTTTCTGGCTTTTTCTTTCTTTTTCTTTTTGGTATTTGTAGAGGGTCTATTGATACTGCCAAGATGCATGAAAGCTTGTAGGGTATGGTTTGAAGTCAAGAATGGGGGGGGGCATTTTTGGCTCTCCTTTCCAGCCCACTGCGCAAGACCTACCTTATTATGAAGGTAAGTGATTATGGTTGGGGATCGGCCTTTGCAACCCTGACCGCAATTAGACCTAGTTCGTCCTTTTGTATCATGAACTTGCTGTTCGAATTTCTACCTCTACGCTAAAGTAAAATTTGGCTTCCACAGTTGCCAAACTAGTGATCTTCCTAAGTTAGACAATCTACTTCGTATCATGGATGATTATTCCTAGTCGCGAGCGACTCCGAGACTCCTTCTCAGGGTTCCACAGCAACCTGGTAACCCAAGGGACCCGAAGACGAACCATGAAATTCCAGACACGAACACACGCGCGCCATCGCACACTGATCCATTATTAATAGATCGGATACCCGCTTCTTTCCCTTCTCAAATAGAGTATGTTGTGGTCGGATGAATGGGGAGGATTTACTAGACTAGAAACCTTCCTCGCTCCTTTGGCACTGTAATTGTTGTATCAGATTTTGCCCGTCAGAGCCCCCTCAGGGAAGGTCCGACATCGACCTCGAATTCGCAGACTAGGGCCCATGGCCCATTTATTCTATTTATTGGCATTCGGCAGGGACTAAGTTGACAACTTCTGAAGAAGAACAACCGCAAGGCGACCAATTCCCATACTTTAAATTTGGATGATCTCATGCCCGCACATCAGTAGTTTTCCCGGTGGCTCATTGTGCGTCATGCTCCGTGTATGGTCTAAAAGTCAGTCCCGTCATTTCGGCACCTGTCTCGCCTATCGTCCAGTCTTTTCCCTCGTGGGTTGCCCAAAATAGTATGAGGAGGATGGATGGAGATATGACAGATCCCCGATCACGGTGAGGTGAGGGCAGACTTTCAGATGGGCTCCAAACTCAGAGGGAAAAATCGGCTTGCGGTCCACCCCTCCGTTGAACGGACCAGAGACTGTTTCGCTTTCAAGTACATCCATATCTACCGATTTGTCGTAAATGTAGTAAACTCCCATCGGAAAAAAGGAACGTGTTCCCTTTGATTTTCCTTCTCAAGTGATATCCCTTCCATCAACGTGCACGGGCGACCTGGCCTCCCCAATAGGCTATGCTATAAGTAACGCTATTACCCTGCAGCAATAATATTTCAACGGTTTTTGGAATCGATCCAATGATCGTCGCGCCATTGAATACGGTACCTGCTACGGATACGTATTTGCCATTTACAATTGAGCTTAGCTTGTAAGCTGCTGTGTGTCCTTCAACAATTTGAGGGAAGGAAGTTCAATGAGCGGTGATTGTTTGTCTACGCACTTTTTTTTTTTTTTTCTTCTTCTTTTCCCTGGACTATTGCTTTCACGCTCCTGCATACAAGCTTTAGATTGGATACCATGAGACGCAGCAGCATACACCCTGCATGGTACATTAGGTTCCCTCGATCCTGGCTGGCTTATTGGAAGGTGTCACTGGCAATTCCAGCAAATTAAAGCCAAACAAAAGGATCAAAGGAAAAAGAGTTGCTCGAGGGGAGGATGCGGGGCAGTCGAAAGCACTGACTCGGCCGGTTACAACTTCCATCTGCATTGGTTGCATGGAGGGGTTTTTTTTAGCTGTACTTTCAATGGTTTTTATTATCGCTCTTGTTGTCTTGGGTTATTAGCTATGGATGACGATGTCAACTATCTAAAATCTACATCAAAGAGAGAAGGAGAGGTTGGTGCTGGTGCTGGTGCTGTAAAGGGAGGAAGGAGTCGCGAGCATGCCCTAAAGAAGTGGACAACTGATGTACCGTACCTGTCCGCTGCACCCAAACCATGAATGAACCATGGGAGTCGATCCAAGCGTCCTGTTGCTCGGACAATGTGGAATGCGGTGAAATGGCCACTACGTGAGGTAGTCCTGCACATCAATCATGGGGTGAAGCGGCTTCAGAAATCATACACGGTGGCGATTGGATCTGGAGGCGACAACGCAGCAGCCATCTGTGGGAAAGATGCGAATCCCTTGAGCAGTTGAGATCCTGTCGTTGATGTCGATGATGCTTGGACGTTTTGGGGGGGGAAGCAGGAAGATACCTGCACGTGATTCCATGATCTGGGGATGCGCGGAAGAACGAAGATTACCTACTTACTGAGTAGTACTGTACTGTACCTTGATTTCCAAACGGCATCACATCAGGATCAATTCGAGTGGTAGCACTCATTATACTACAGTACAGTTCATTATGTACATTCATTCGCTTCCAGCTTCCCTTCCGAAGCCGCTCTTGCTCTACCGTGAAGAAGGGGGAAGGGGGAAGGGAGAAGAGCACCTGGCCAACTTCCACTTCCATCGACACATTACCGTATGGTAAGACAGATGCTCATACGGCGACTAACAATACCCACCCGTATTTGAACGCATCTCCAACTACCAGCGGCCAGGTTCGACCTCCTTCCCTCACCACGGTGCAAAAACCATCGATACTAATCAGGAGATACAGTACTCTGTAGTACCAGTGGCTCTCTGTGCTGAGTACGTACTTGAATGGAAATGCTAGAAATGAGCTGTGTTGGCCGTGTAGCCAGCATCATCATCTCCCGGCTTACTTGCACCTCCTTCGTCAGTGGCAACAACAAGCAGGGCATACCAACAGAACAGGGACGAAAGTACGGGGTAAGAGAGTAGATCGCGGCCTCGAGTGCAGTAGGCATACTTCCATCTTGCTTGCTGGGATGATCAGTCGGTCCTTACAGGAGGTTCCGACATGGGTTCGGATCCCTCCATGCAGACCAGCTGGGTTGCTCTTTTCTAGAAGCATCACGAAGCTGGGTTTGGTTGGCCAACGGGTCACCAACACTGTAAGTAGCTGGGACCAAGCGGACGTGAATGGGATGATGGGATGATCTGAGTAGAGTTGGGTTGGGTTGGGTTGTGCTGGTAGTAGCAGGTAACTAAGTTGAAGTACTGTACGTATAGTTAGTAGTTGTATGGATGGAATGGATGAATGGTTGCTGGGCTTGCCGAATTGGCCAGCTTCAGCCATTCCGTCCCGCATCATCTTCTCTTCATTTCCATCCTCCAAGATCAGAACAATCTTGGGCCCCTCAGGCCACCACATCGCAGCCACCAGAATACTCGCTCTAGTTGTTATCATCGTCATCATCATCGATAGAAGTTATTCGAGTGCTTCTATCCGGGTCTTCCCCCTCTTCCGACTCATTTTGCAGTTGCCTGCGTCGTCTCAGAGTGCGACCTCTGCCTGCCTGGTGCTTGACATACACACCAACACCAACCACCACCATCACCAGCAACAACCACAAAAAAAGCCATGGTCTCGATTGTAGACGCCGAGCAGGCAAGAAACTTGTCGCTCTTCCGACCTCTAGGTAAGCAACCAGTCATCATAGCGTCTTCAACCCCGTGCAATCGGTATCCGCCCCAGTTGGTTCCCTTTGCTTTCCCCCAATCGGTGCCCCTCATGCGCCGGCATGGCATGGGCTGCCCCTCATCTCGATCTATACGGCCTTCGCTTCTCCATAGTACCACCTAAACAACACCACTGCCAACCACCTTGGCCGAATTTCGTCTCCTGGTCCCGTTGCCTCCAGTGAAAACATCTTTAAATCACATTCTCTGCTATTTCTATTGTCTTCAATTGTCGCCATGTAGACTGCCCCACTGGCTGCCTCTTGCCGCTGACTTCGCAGAATAGGCTACCAACGCAACTCTTGTGGCTACTGTAAATCTGATGATGGCTGTGAGTCTCTCCACGCTGCCCCACCAGAGATGCCCATCACAGGCATGTCGACGACGGCTTCATGCCATGCCATGCCAGGACTAACGCGCGTCTACTGCAGCTGCCTCCTACTACACTAGCTCGGTCTCTGTGCGACCGGCCCATTATGAGGCCCTTGTCAACCGGGGCTGGAGAAGGTACTGTGTGGTTCATTTGGTGCATGAGAAGTACGATCAACATGGGGACTAACCCAGGCCTAGATCGGGCACGCTGTACTACAAGCAGAACCTGCAGCGGTCATGCTGCCCTCACTATACGATGAGGTCGGTGATCGGTTCTTTTCCCCTGTCTATGTTTCACGAGATTAATCCATCATGGCAGACTGGAGGCATCGGACTTCAAACCTCGTAAGGATCAACGCAAGGCTGTGAACCGCTGGAACAAGTTTGTTCTCGGTCCTGAATACATCCGTCGAGCCGCATATCTCTGTCCCAAGACACGGGAGTGAGTCGATTCAATCTGGGATAGATTTGAGAAGGTGCTGAATGTCCGCATTGTAGGGAAAAGAAGAGCCGCAAGTCCCACTTTGACCTCCCGGGGGCCGTCCACGAAGCCGAGTATAGCAATGTGAAACGGCCCATTGATCCGAAGACGAAGAAGTATCTCGAGCCCGCGCATCGATTCGAGGTCAATCTGGAGGGCGACTCCCTCTCTCAGGCCAAGTCCGTCACTAGCTCCGGTTTCAAATCCAATTTCTGACCTCTCCACCCGCAGATTCGACCTCTTTCGCAAGTATCAGACTACAGTCCACAAGGAAGACGTCTCGAAGTGGCAGACCAAGGACTTCAAGCGCTTCCTTTGCTCGGGTCTGACGCGCTCGCCCGCCGATCCGAAGAAGTCGGACGAGAAGAAGCTCGGGTCGTGGCATCAGTGCTACCGTCTCGATGGCAAGCTCATCGCCGTGGCTGTATTAGATCTGATGCCTAGTGGTGTGAGCTCTGTATACATCTTGTACCGCTTCCTTGCGTGGCCACTTCAATTCGAAGCTGACCTTAGCCAGTTATGACCCAGACTACGAACAATGGGAATTCGGCAAGCTGAGTGCAATGCGGGAGATCGCTTTTGCTGTGGAGGCTCAATATCCGTACTACTACATGGGTAAGTCCATCTATTCTGATCGCGTGCTATTGCTAATATTCTGGTAAGGATACTATATCCATACATGTCAGAAAATGCGCTACAAGGGAACCTTTAAACCCCAGTACATCCTCGGTAAGGGCCCTCTTTGGGCCCCTTCCACGCATCTTCCATAATACTGATTCTGACAGACCCCGAATCCTACGCCTGGGACCCCCTCGACGGCGAACTCGCCCAGAAACTCGACACTCGACCCTACGTCTCCCTTTCCCGAGACCGCCAAGCAGCAACCACCACCACTACTGCTGAGAAGATTCCTGAGTCTGACACCGCTGATGCGGAGATCAACGACGAGGACATGTCACTCTTTGACCTGCACATGCCTGGCGTGTTGACTCTGGACGAAGTGAAGGCGCTAGACCTGGACCACTGGTTGCTTCTAGTGCATGGGTCCTTTGTACATATGATCGTACGTTCTCCCCCTTTGATCGTTCGAGAAAAATGTACTACGTGCATTGTGCACCTGGCTGAAGCGATACTAACAAGGTGTATGACGGTAGGACCTGGTCGGTTGGGAGAGAATGCCAATAGACAACCCCCAGTCGGTGAAGGGGATTGTCGCCGAGTTGGCGGCGGTGCTGGGACCGGAGGTCTTCAAGCAGAGCGCCGTGGTGTTATTTGATTAGACCTCTAAAGTGGGTTGTAGTCAGGACTCAGTGGATATATAGTGGCTTAGTTCTATATAGTTCTATATAGTTATCGAACTAGCTGTTTGAAAGCAGGTGGCGCGTGATACCCGGATGTATCAGACCCTACCTGATCTACCTCCCACGATCTCTCTCTCGCCCATCAGGTCTCAACATTTCAGCATATACAACAACACCTTTATACACTCCATAACAACCGCGCAGCGTAGATGGGGGGGCTCGTACCTCTACTATACTCCCCGATGTAGGGGCCATGGGCTTAGAGCTCGTGCTGTCGGAGTATTAGGTAGGCTGGTAGGTTGGTAGGTAGGGAGGGAGGCAGGTAGGTAGGATAGATAAATGATATCGTATCCCAGGTACCTTCAAACGAGGGAAAGAATCTCTATACTGTGAGTGGTATTGGATATAAGTTCATATCTATACAAAGTATCTATACCCGGGAACGCCAAGGGAGGCATAGAGTGGGGGCTAGATCGGGGGGGTATAGAACGCGTGACGGAAGGCTCAGCTCGCTCGGCTCAGCTCGTCCGCCTAAAGCTTAGAGTGGGTAGACACCGATCTCTAGCTCTAGAGGGTCAAGCACAAACAAGCACGGGCACACCACTGGGGCTCATGGATCTACCCATACCCAGATGCACCCTGCAAGCCAACCAGCATGTATGCATTATGTACCGAGAACAAAGAAGAGGTATATAAGCAAGCAAGCAGCTGAATGCACTAGCACATCCCTATGTATTCACAGCGAAAGAAGTGAAGAAAAGGAGAGAGACAGAGTTAATGCACGCCTGGATGATGGGAGATTTGTACCGGAAAGAAGCAAAAGAAAACCAGATCACAAACACGAAAAGAAAAGAAAAGAAAAACGAGGCACGCCCCGCATTCATAACAACAACAACCACCACCACCTAACCCCAGCTTCCCATTCGCCCTACATGCAACCAACCAGACAAAGAAAGTCAAGGTAAGGTAAGGTAGTCGAACCCACTGCATAACAACAACGGACCGACTACTATACCTCCTACCTATACCCAACCAAAACACAACAAGACCACCCATCCATTCCAATGTTATCTGCATCGAAAAGGAAAATCCTTACCGGAGGACTGGTTGGAAATGAATCGAAAATTCATAAAGCAATGAAAGATAGCACCATTTCCCCGTTTGTCTATCTCTTGAGAAACGATTTCTTTTTCCCCCACACCCTTCATTGCCTCAACCGCCCTTGGATTCGCCCCGATCAATCGATCATCGATCATCGACCAACAAACAATCAAGATCAAAGAAGCCACTCGAAGACGAGATGAAACATGAAGAGAAGGAAAGAAAACGAAAGTCGAGAGATGACAACTTGAAAAGAACGCCAGCCAGTAAGAAACCAGATCTATGGACGCCAACGGGTCAGTACACTCCATAGATAAAATAAAGCAGAACCGTGATGTCGTGAGACTCAACCATGTACCCAGAGAAAGAAGATACTAAGAACCATGACCATGACCATGACCACAACCCGATGATGAACGATCCTGTAGATGTAAACGCCCCACCATGTGCAGAGCAAGGCAGACAATGCTAACCGGCAGGAACCAGATGCGACGCCGAGTATTCCGATAGATGCGCCGGATGGAGACAGAGATGACGATGACGATGCCGATGACGATGATGGAAAGAACACGCAGTGACGAGATGATGACAGCTAAAAACGCCTGGCCATGCTACGCAGTCAAGCACAAGTCTCGATCGAACCTGTCTGTCAACTTAATCACCACCCTCATCAATAGTCTGCGCTTCACCATCGTCGCCTTCGGATCCATCTGCTAGCATCGCGGTGGTCGGGATTCGTCGCCCAGCGCCGAAGACAAACTCCATGAACCGTGCCTTCTGTTTGTCCCGAACGCCCCGAAGGTATTCGTAGCTGCCGTCGATGCCCCGGATCTGACCCTCGATCACGGCTCCGATCGGCCCGAGCATGCGTCCATGGCTGTGACTATTGCTAGCCTCGACACCCCCCGCGAACCGGACCGAATCGTTGCGCCGTACCAACGGACTAACCAACTTGCGACGCAAGGTTTCCAAGTTTACCTTCAGCGTGAGGAGGCGTCCGCGGTGATCCATCAAGAGGTGCTTGTTAGTGACAGTCCGACTACGGACGCTGGCAAGAAGCCGCTTATTCTTTTCATACTTGCGAACGATGGAGGCATCCGGTCCGAGAACGCGGGTCCATAGGGAACTCAGCATCTCGCCCTCCTCCCGTTCTTGCGCATCTGACTCACGAACGACGGTCCGCTGCAGGTTCAGGAACTGGCGATCGATAGACTCAAAAAGCCCAAAGAGCGCAGTAGAATGGTGCAGCTCGGTGTTGATACATTCCTCAAGCACACCTAAGAATTCAGTAAAAGTACGGGTGAGCGTTGCGCGCGTACGTTGCGCCGAGGTTTGTCCAAGGACCGCCGTCACGACTTGACCGAATGTGGTGGGTGTAGTCGCCAGCTCACCGCCTGGAGGGGCATCATGGGGGTCAACCGGCCGTTCCATGGTACCCAGTCGCGCAAGGATCTCATGCAGATTATCGAACATGAGCGTCGGAAACGAGCTCGGCGGTTGGGCATTGATCGCTTCCAGTTCGCGTTTGGCCCAATCCATGACGATCAGGATCGAGTCAAAGTCGGCATCGACGTTGGCGAAGAAGCGAGTCAGCTCCAATGACAATGACTTGAGGGATTCGGACAGCTCATCCAGCTGGCGCACGATGATAGGCGCGCTGGTCATGTTGGTGCCACGAACAGATTCGCTCAGGTCCCAGACCGCCACACCGGTTTCCTGCAGTGCCTCGATCTGCTGCGCGCCATGTTCCGAATAATAGATCAGGGGCTCAAAGGAGCGCGCAAACCCGGACAGCTTGACTAAGTCAGGGATTGGCTGAGGATAGTTCGGGAGAAACAATGTGCGCATCAATCCTATGGACAAAAAGGCGACAACTATGGAGACGAGGGTATTTGTCCGAGTGCTGGTGATTTTATCCAGCTTCTCACGCAGGTACCTAAACATGCCCGCCAATGGTTCACGATGCTGGACTTCGGCGCGTACTGCGAATCGGATATCTTCATGCAGAAAAGGCACAGGTCAGTATCCTATATCAGCTCGCTGGATAGAGTTGAGCTCCAAAGTGATACCTACAATTACTAAGATCCTGCTCGGGTGCAAATTCCAACTCGGTGTCCTGGCCAGCTTGCCCGCCAGCCGGAGCTCTGCTTGGCGAACGTGTCTGGGTCCTCTCGGGACTCTGTAGCGACATGGCCGTTGGCGCGCATGCAGTGGTCTCAGTCATAGCCGAGGACTGCTTGCGATCCTTTGACACAGGGGCCTCGACCGCATCCTCGTACTGTGGGCTGCCCTCTCGCGATTGCGACGGACTCACCCCCACTGTCGGCTTAAGGACGGGGCGCTCTTTTTCTGGACTGCGAGAATACGCTTCGTGGCGATACCAACCACTTCCTGGATTGTAATCGTGTCTGCGAAATCCGGGTGGTGACCAGCGCTCCATGTTGGGATTGGGGTCTTCATCGTCTGGGTCCGATTCCTCCTCGCGGAATCCGGAATGCTGCGATGGAAGACTAAAGAGAGGTGAACGCTGCGTGTTACTGCTGCTTTCAAAGTCCTCGAGCGACGCATCCAAGGACGGATGGTCGTCGAAGTTGTTATCGAGTTCGTCTAACATCTGGGACGGTGTTTCACAACGAATAGCCACCAGCGCCAAGGATCCTCTTGATCGCGCCAACGATCTGGACGACACCTCGCACTGCGCGGACGAGGATACTGCGCGAATGGTGGAGACGGTCAAGAAGACTTGATCAGATGGTTAGTCGCAAGCGCGCTTAGATACGATCTGAGCTGTGTTCTAGGCGCGGATGGATGGGGAAGGCGGGGGGAGGCATGAAATGTGAGAGCGAGATGAGGAGGTGAGAAGGTGAGAGGGAGGAAGAGAGGGGAGAGAGGAGAAGTCTACCCAGAGTTTATAAAATGAGATGAAGGTGAGGCCAGGGAATGGAATGCGATCAGAGAGTTAGAAACGGGGACCGCGAGTGAATGTAAGTAATTAGCCTGGGTGCCTGAGGACCACTAGGGCGGCCTGATGGATTCACTGGATTCACCAGGGAAGACGGGTGAGCGATCGCACGCGCGCAAGACCTCACAGAGGATCAAGTACAGATTATAGAGGATAGACGGTAAGTGTGTGCGCGTGTGCGTAAATAGGCCAACCAGTCAGTCAGTGTTAGAAACGGTTATGGGATGCGACAAGTCACAGCGGGTTCTCCGCAATACACCAGCAAAAGCAACTGTGAGAGGTGCTTGCATGAACCACCACTATAGACACAGAGCCACAGACACAGGCACCGCAAGAGAGGGTGCCACCTGTGTGAGACAGGGAGAGGAGCTATGGAGGGATGCGGTTAGTGGAGGGCAGATAAGATAGTCAAGTCAATACACGATCTGAATAGACTATATAGATAGATAAGATGAGATGGATGTGTCGAGGGCAAGCAAGTATTCCGGTTCTTCGAAGTAGGTGCAGTATAAGATTGCGATGGAAGTATAGTAGTATCAATGCGATTCACACACGGGTTTTCGAGGCAAGTAAGTAAAGTAACCTGTTTCTTTTCCAGGTACAAGTAGATGATACGCGCCCCTCGCATGTCTCGCTGGTCGGAGGGGGGGGTTCGGAATCCGTATTTAAACAACGGAGGGGAGGGGGGTGGCTGGACCAATCGTGGTGGGCCAGCCCCGGGTCATGTGCGATGGGCTAAAACCGACTATCTTTGGAGAGGGAAGTCGATAGGAGCTTGCAAGATGTCCTTTCTCTTTGGATTGCCGGTCGAAACCGATGGTGGGGGGAAAAGCCCCAGGGAGTGGGCACAGTTGTTGCGTTATGGAGCGCATCTCAAGAACCCGTTGTTCCCTTCCATCGCATAAAGGGCAGACAACGTGCGGACATATCAATGCGATAACAAAGAAGGGCGGAAGGACCTGAACCAAGAATACATCCCTATCGATTGTGAACGGGGGGGTTTATCGATAGCGATAGTCAGCGAAGAAACCCAAGTGGGGAGGGGCAAAGGGGACGCTGTGGCTGAAGTGCTGCAGTGAGAGGAGGGGGAGAAAGAAGCCTGATACTCCCGATGTACAGTACGGATGAACTCTCAGCAGCTTCGACACGTCCGGTCGTGCTTACTGCCACGCCATCGTGCCCGGGCACATCTTCCGATTCGCGTCATTCGCGATCCTCCCTGGGTTCAGATCAGTGGTACATACCGTACTCCGTACTGTACTGTATATCAGTCCCCAGATTATCTCACATCTCGATCAGAAGATAATCCCACGATTTCAGGGCCGCCCGAAGTATCCGAACGGGGGGAGGCAGCACTCGCATTCCTGGCTTGCCTGCACTTGAATGTGCAAAGATAGAGTGTTTTGTCTGAGGAAGTGCACCAACTAAGCACCAAGTTAGCCCAGGCTGTAGCAGGCTGTAGCAGGCCGTAGCAGGACAACTGGTCCAATCATGTGGCCGAAATGCTTCTCCAACGATGCAAGGATCATCCGCCAGATTGCCGTTGCAGTCGAGACTTGTCCCAGCGGCCATCGATGATTGATGGATTCATGTTCTCTGCTCAGTGCTCACCCACCCTTCTCTCTCGGCCAGCAACGGCGGGAAAATCAGGGAACCTTGAAGGTTGCCCGACCGCCAACCCATCGGCACACGTGATCCTGGTCATCCTGAAACGCCAGACTCGGCCAACGCATCAATTTACTGCAACTGGAAAAAGCACAGACACACCTAGGGGTCACTTTCGGCGCGCATGGCGTCATGAGAGGAGATCTTTTTTCATTATAGTCTCACAGAAAAAAAAATATTGATACCATCATACACAGAGCAGGGCATTCATCGGTCACAAAAAAAATGAACAAAACGTCAATCGGGAATATGTGTAGTAGACAGCGGTCGCGAAGGAGGCAAAAGGCTCTATAGCATCCTCTTTTTTCTTCCATCGCATGAAGATTCCAAAGTCTATCGCATGTAAACAGAGGGTAATGTTACATGACCCGACCAAGCCGCAGAGACGGCCGAGTGACCGGCTGTTTCCAGCACGCAGAGTCGAGGCAAACCCGTACGTCCCGGTCGGGGTCTAGAAGGTTTCACATAAGTGAAAGCATCTAAGCGGTGGCCTCCTTGAGGTAACTGTAGGAAACATATCCGTTAGCTGACTGCGCCTGAACCGATTTCAGGTATGAACGTACGTGATGAGGTCGTTGCGCTCCTTGGCCTTCTTGAGACCACCGAAGGCCATCTTGGTACCGGGGATGTACTTCTTGGGGTTCTCGAGGTAGGGGTACTGGAAAGAAGCATGTCAGTCAAGTTGATCACTATCACGATTGGTGCGCGAGTCGCGAGGGTGGGCTTACGAGAGTGCTCTCATCCCAGGTGACGTCGGCCTGCTTGTTGGCGTCGGTGTAGGCGTAGCCGTCGGAGGAACCGGTCTTACGGCCGAAGAGACCGTGGAGGTTGGGGCCGACCTTGTGGGGACCACCGGCCTCGACGGTGTGGCACTGAGCGCAGCGAGTCTGGAAAGTGCAGAGTCAGCAACCTAGTCCAAAACCTTTCGCAAGTCCTTCTTGCGTATGTAGAGAGGCATCAACTCACCTGGAAGAGCTTGGCACCCTTGGCAGAGTCACCTGAAAAACCGGAGATGTTAGCCGCAGTCTGGATGGGCATTTGTGCTGCCGGTAGCTGGGGCTTTTCGCAGGACTCCAAGTCGACCTGGCGCAGGTGGATGGTGGTGAGGAAACAGTAGGTGTCGAAGCTCGTCATGGTACAGCGTCTCTCGCTGGTCATGAAATCTTATGGTCTGGTTCATGGGCTTTGGAATTGCAGTGAAAGATGCCAGGCAGTGGTACATCGTCAAGGCGACAGGACTGACAAAGAACCCATGATCATAACACATCGAGACCAAGATCACCACCATTACCACCACCACCACCACCCAACAACACCTGGCCTATGCATCCGGCAGCCCCGAAGCCATTGTGTTCAAGCCGAGTCTTCGAGGCGACCAGTGCATGATCGGTGACACTGACCACGAGCCGCAACACCGGGGGATCGAGGAAATTCCAAGGGGAATGCTTACCAGGAGCGAAACCAGCGTCCTTGCCCATTTTGAATGTGTGAAGGGGAGATGTGAAGGGTATTAAAAAGAAAGGTAAAGAAGGTAAAGTACAGAGGAATTGGATTGAGCGGAGGTGATTCCGGGGGAAGAAGGGAAAGCAGAAGGGGAGGACAGAAAAACTTGCGATTGCAATTTGTACTTACTGGGAAGAGCGGCCCCAACAGCCCTTTTCCCGTGATCCGGGCTTCCGCCAATCAGCACCGCGATGATTCAGCACAACGGGCGCATCCGGGACCAGATGCCGGTGTGATTTTTTGGTGGAAAAGATGAGATCACCAGGCACAGTTGCCGCGAGGGCTGTTGGTTACCCGCTTAAATTAGAACAGGAGTCCAGAGTCAATGGATTGAACAGAGGTCTATTGATTGCTATGCTGAACACTGTACAAACCTCACTCTCCCTCCCTCTCTAGGTGTTCTCGACCCCTACCCGTGACCTAGGAGGCATGAGGTATGAGGTATGATCTCATTCTACGCTCATTCCTGCTGACTCTGCCAGCCGTGCCTTCGGGATCCCGCAACCAATCGGTTGAATTCGATCGGTGTAGAATCACCAAAGAATGGTTCAGGACGAGACTAAACAACGGAACCTCGAGGGCGAGAGGGGATGATATGAAAATGGTGAAAGCACTACATCATTTTCGCCTTTGCCTTTTTGCCTTTGTCTTCTGTTGGACTGGGACCAGACCAGAGCCCGGGGCACATTCGGGGGTACGGAGCAACATTTGCAAATCCCTCGACGGTCATTCGTCCTCCGAGTCTGACCGACTTGGCGTTGGGGCAATGTTGTTCCGCGCCGCCGCATCGTTCGGAGCAACAATCGCAGCCGGTCAAGTAAACATGCAATGCGCCGGGGGGACGTCCATGCCATTTAATGACCTACGCCGTGCAATGTAGCTGTAGAACACCCACTGCTCTTTTCACTGTCGCAGTGCACTATGCATGACATACTTCTTCCAATAAGGCCCTAACAACCTTCCCCGAACCCAATCCGAACACCAAGCTGTAGTATCGTGATCTCTCAAGCGACGCGACTGGCCACCATCTCACGTGACTCACGTTCCCACACCGCCTGGCATCTCCTCCCCGGCAAGAAAATTGCCCGTATCAGTATCAGGCATACCAATCAACCACCGTACTGCAACTGCATCACAAACCACCCTCTTCCACCCTTCGCCCCCTCTCCCAGGCAAACCAACACCAGCCTCCAAAGATGCAGTCCACAACCACAATCCGAATCCCGCGCTTCCTCCTCCCGCGAGGCATCCCCACCCCTCGAACCCTCCAAGCCCTCACCAGCACCACCAGCCCCCGCACCCCAAGCATAACCCCCCGCCGCTGCGCCTCCAGCAAATCCGGCGCCGCCAGCAAAAACAAAGACAAACCGATCGTCCTCCCGCAACCGGACAAATTCCGGCCGCCGTCGCACCCGCAGCGGCGCGTGGTGCGCACCAGCAACGGCCGCGTCGTGACCGCCGACCCGGTGCACTACGGCCCGCGCCTGACGGAGGCCGAGAAGGAGGCGCAGCGGAAGAAACAGTACCCCAACATGTTCCCGCCGGAGGGGACGGTGGCGCATAAGTTTCTGACGAATCGGGGGATCCATGTTTGGATTGCTATGGTAGGCCTACCCTTTTGCATATTATGCTTCCGGGGTTTGGGAAGATGCGTACTGCACTGTGAAGGAGGAATTCTTTTGGAAGTCTAAGATAACGCGATGCTAACCACCTGCTACTGCAAATAGGGCGTGCTCACTTCCCTGGCTACGTTCACCTTCACCACGAACTTCAAGCGGTCGTCGCCGTTCGCGCATCTGCTCCCGTCGTGGTCCGGGTTGCTGTCGCATCCCTTCGATACGGTGGGCCAGGCGCTCGCGGTGTTCCGCATGCATGTCGAGCATTCGTCGCAGCAGACGCGCGAGAAGCGCCGGCAGCGCGTCGAGGATGCCGAGAAGCGGAGGCAGTATCGCATTGCGCATGGGTTGGAGGAGGCGCCGGAGGCTGCTGAGGGTGCTGCTGCTGCTGCTGCTGCCGCGGAGGCGGTGGATGATCAGTCGCCTATTGCTCGCGAGGCGGCGGACGGCACGTATGTCGATTGGGAGGGACAGAAGAGGCCCGTGAAGAAGTGGTTGGGTATTTGGTAGGCTGGTATTGGAACCGTCCGGTGCAAGCGGGGCTCGGACACGAGAGAGAGAGAGAGGTACTGCGGTGTGTAAGATGAGGGATGTAGTTGAGGAAGATTTTTCAGCATATCTTAGGTCTATGTACAATACTACTAGCTTTCTATCCTCCTCGGCGGGTTGTCCTCTTGTCTATTGGGGGCTAAACATCTGGCGGATTATCGCTGTGATTAAGAATCACGCTCTGTCGGGTGGATATGCGTTCTTCTTTCCTCGAACACACGCCCAGAAGATGTCTGCCATGAGGTTTGACAGTTTATTCCCAGTGTCCCAGAGCGACAAACCAGACCTCATGAACCGCTCAACCAACCTCCACACTCTCCAAACCCTCCAGAACCTCCTCACCAACCCCACCCTTCTCCAGCACCAATTTGACCATCTTAGCCACCGTGCGCCTCTTCACCCCTCCCCGACGAGGCCTCCATACGCCCGGAACCTCCTCCTCGCCCGTGACCGGATTCAGAACCGCCGTCGCCGCCGCCGGCTGCTGCTCCTCCGAACCAGCAGCACCAGTCGTAGCCCCCAGCGTCGCCACGTTCTCGGAATTCGGCACCCCAGGCTGCGTCAACCGCGAGGGAGGATCGATCGTCCGGATGGACAACAGCTTCAGGCCACCCTCGGAACCACCATCGCGCGTCACCGAGATGGCCAGCACGGTATCAGCGACGGCGATCTCCTCGCGGTTCGGGTCGAAGATGACATTGTCGCCCACGGCGATCACCAAGAGGGTCACGGGAGGGCGGACATGCTGCACGGGAGGAGGAACAATACCACCCGCCGTGCTACCGCCGAACTTGGGGAACGAAGAAGAAGCTCTGGGATACAGATACTCGGCCGCATTCCAGTCATCGTCAAAGAAGGGGTCCTCCTCGCCCTTGGATTTCAACTTGGGGAGTTTCGTCGCCAGAAGCGCCAGATGTGTCGTCAGGGACAACAGGGGGAGAGGATAGGAGAGTGGTTGCGATAGCAGTAATACCTGTTTCGTCGGGTTGTCAGTTAAGCAAGTGAACTCCCACTCCAACTTCCTTTTCTCCCGTCACAAAAAAAAAAAAAAGAGGGGACGTGATCTCTTACATCAATATACAACCGCCAATGCCAACTCCGATTAATGACCAACCTCCCCTTCAAACCCCCCTCCATCTCTTTTTCGCCATCCCCACTAGCACCCTTACTCCCGGAAGAAACACTCTCAACCAACGGCTCCCGCATCATCTCCGCCAGGAACACAGGCAGGGCATCGTCGTCCCGAAACCCGGGGATCTCAATGCTCATCTGCACCCACGACCCATGACCGGCCGTAGCAGCACCAGCACCACCACCCGCTGCAGAGCCCGACCCCTCCCCGCCTTCGCCATCATGATCGCCTGCGCCTTCGGCCTCTGCGAGAGTATAGCTGGCCGCAGCACCCACCACCGTCCGCTCCACCTCGGCCTTCACGCCGACGATCGCTTGCGTCCCGTCCGCGAACCCGACGCGCGCGCTGCCGTTCGTGCCGGGCAACAGATCGGTCTCGGCGGTCAGGGGCCGGAACTGCGTCGCTGAGCGGCCATCGGGTCGGATGGGGTTCTGCGGGAGACTGAGCGAGGTGTAGAGGTAGGAGAGTTCGGCGGGGGAGATGTGCGGGGTTTGGGAGGCGGAGGTGGCTTGTCGTTGGGTTGACATTTTTCTGGCTTGTCTCGCCCGGAGAACAGAAATACGAGTGCGTATGAGTCGAATATGATATTGTATCAGTGCGATCGAGGGTAGAGGTATAGGCAGTCTCCGCAGCTATCGACAGCCCCTCAAGATCAAGGACTAAAGTGCTGGGAGCTGGATGATTTCTGCTTTGGTGGTTGAGCAACAGGATTTTGTCGCAAAGAAAGTCGAGCAAGCTCAAGCTGAGAAGCTCTGTATGACCTGCTGAGCCGAGCAGTCTTTCCGGTCGCGACAGGCTTTTCTTGCTGAAATGTTGAAGAGTTGACAAATCGATCTGAAGCTTTTGACGTAGTGCTGCTTTGGGAAATTCTGCCGGAATGTCGGCGGAAGGGTTGTTCCGTCTCGGGCGATCTTCCATACTATCTACTTATCCATTGAAGACATCCCTTTGTGTACTATGCTAATTCTCTGGCAGTTTTTATTTTACACAAGGAAAAACGTTGTGTGCAGATACATACAGACGTCGTCTGCGTAATTAGATGTGTATATATAAATAGACGAATATGTCGTCGAGATGATCCTATATTACAAGATGTTGAAGCTCCAGACCAGCCACCGATGCTCCTCAGCCAAACCATAAACTGTACAATAGGTGAAGGGGAGTTTTGAGGAACAGTGCAAAAGCACTCTCCATCCGCGCAATGAGGGTTAAGAAGGGGAAAGGGAAGGCTGGATGACTGAGGGAATGTTGCCACAGGAAATATACATAGGGATGAAGGGAGTTTGGACAAAAGGAAAGATGGTATGAGTATGTAAGACATGTTGGGGAATGATTCAGATATATATATATATAGGGTGGGAGATGGGTGTAAGAATCGCGACTCGCGCAATTGGTATCAAGGACAAGGGATGAGCATATGCAGATGTTGTTGTAAAAATGGTCAATGAATGGAAGACGAACAAACGGCATGCCGAAAACAGGTTGCGAGGCCGACTGTATCTATGAATAAGGCCTTTGGGGTATGAGAACAATGCAAACAAATGAAAGGCAACCCCGGACTGAAACCTCGGGCAATACAAACGGGTATGGGAAATGAAGCGCAGGATGAAAGATGAAATAGAAAAAGGCTGCCAGTCCTCACACAAGATAAAATCACAGTAGACACCAGATCCCGTACGCCTTGCTCGGTGAAATTGCCGGTAGTTACGCGCATGACCACTCATTTTTCTGACTTTTTGGTAGATGCAAGCATATTCAACAGATGACGATGAGTTATAAAGATAAGTGCAATGGCCCGCCAAACCGAAGCTACCGATAAGTTGCTGATCCGGTCATGAACTTGGTGGTAGCCGAAGCCGACTTGGTCCATTCGGCTTCGTCGTAAGGCGGTGTGGGCCATTGGCGGTTGGAGTTTGCTTCTGTCTTCTCGGCTGGGAGTCGTCGACATGGAGTCATTTCTGGGCCGAAAAAGCCACCTTCGCAGTTGGCGGAAGGCGATGGAGTTGGATAAGGGCTTGGCAATGGACGCCCGCTGTCATTACTTCCAGCTGCGTGGCTGTAGCCGTCGGAGGTGATATCAGCCTGTGCTAGTCGCCGAGCAGCTTTGCTGGCTGAATGAAGCACTTCGTCAAGAAGCTCATCCTCTTCCTCGGGAGTTTCGTAACGGTGAATGGGGTTGTTAGACATCTGCATTGCACGCCTAGTCCGGCTGGAGATGGGCCCTCCGGTACCGCTTGTTGAAACGGGGCTGTCGCCCATTGTCCGGATGGATCCTTGGGGCATGGACTGGCGTTTGGTACCATCCACATGGGTGGTGATCTGCACAGGAACATTCCCCCGGTTGTTGGAATCAAGAGAATGCCTCACACTCTGCAGGGCCTTGTCCAGTTCCGCAAAGTCGGAGGTGGACTTGGATTCGCTGACGTTGACAGAGTCCAGAGCCAGCGAGGAACGATTTGACCAAGGCATGCATCCAGCGTTGGATTCCACATCATCGCCAGAGACATTGCCCTGGTTGCGTCCAGATAGCCGGCGAGCACGCTTGCGCAAGTGAGAGAAGAAGCTCTCTTTCGGCGTGATGACTGCGCTTCCGCCATTGAGGGCCCTCTCCGCCTCCTGCCTGTGAATATCGGCATAGTGATTGCCGTTCGAATTGACTGACAACTGCCGGCCAATCTTCTTGCTGGCTTTGCCCGCGCTGTCGCCAGAGTGGGCCAGGGTTGCATTCGCTTGCGCTGTCACTGCGTTGGACAAGGGGGATACGGGTCGAATCGAAGGCAGAATAGGCATGGGAGCGCCATTGGCCCAGGTAGCCCGCTTGATAGGCGGTGGTCTGGTCTTGCTCGGCTGCAGCTCCGAAGGATAGGAGGTGACGCTTGGTTTGGCGGCATGATCGTTCTCCGTGGGCTGGACCGGACTCTCGGACCTTCCAATCAACGATCTCCTGAACCAAGACGCCTTGTAGGTGAGTGTGGGCGAGTCGCTCTGCTCCCGAGTCGCACTCTTGAGGACCTTTTCGGAGTGCTTGCGACCCAAGAGGCGAGCAGTCGAAGACTTCGGTCTCAACGGATCAATAGCATCGGCAAAGTACTCATGGTTCAATGCCTGTGTAGAAGTCGGCCGGTTCTTAGGATCCCACATCAGGCACCAGGTAACAAACTGACTGAGGGCAACAGGCCACTGAGGGGCTTGGAGAATGCTTTCCATCGCATGAGGGGCCATCTGATATTACGTTAGTGCCTTGATTGGGCGAATTGATGCACCGGTGTTCATGGTTCGTACCTTAGGGAAAGTGAAACCCAGCTTCTGAGCCAAGCGAGAGCCATCTCTCCACTCACCACCTCCGAGCTTGCCCCCAGACTTACTGTACCAGTTACCGGGGCTGCCCATGATTTCACATACGCGCCACACCTGGTCAACCTCATTGCCTCCGGGAAATAGTGGCTTGAGGGTTGCGATCTCAACTGCCATGGCACCAACGGCCCACATATCCACCGGCGCGGAGTACTCGCCGGCACGTAACAGGACCTCAGGGGCGCGGTACCATCTCGTCGAGACATAGGTCGTATAGGGGGATTTCGAGTGTGTCTCGCGTGCCAGACCAAAGTCGGCGATCTTCACGGTGTAAGTGGGAGGAGTAGAAGGAGGAGTGACGAGGTTGGAGTAACGGCTGAAGGCGGAGTCGTTCGGAGCAGATGTTGATACGAGGATGTTTTCGGGTTTGATGTCGCGGTGGAAGAAGTGGTGAGCGTGAATGTGGTCGAGACCAGACAGGATTTGGAAGAGAATGCTTTTGACGTGCTTCTGATCCAGGGGCTTGTGGTCACGAGCCTTCATTAGTTGGTAGAGATTTCCGTCCATGTACTCCATGCAGATATGCAGTTTGCGCGAAAGCGGGTCGAGAAAGATGTCGAGGGCCGGGACAAGGTGGGGATGGGGTGGAAGGGTCCGCAGAAAGATGACCTCACGCAACTCCAGACAGGGGCCCAACGACTCGAATGTCTTCTTCATCGTCTTGATCGCCACCTAAGCAAGGAATCAGCAAACCTCACATCGAAAACTTGCATCGGCCAGGAGGAGCTTACCATGGTTCCTCTTCGTGCAACATTGGAGCCAGCTGTCCGTACACGTGCGACAGCCACGCTACCAAAGCTGCCATCACCAACCTCTTTGATGACTTCGAATCGGTCTTCAAGCGAGGCGACGGAGGCGGGAGCAATGCTCCTCAGGGAGGAATGATCGTAACAGACAGTCATGATGTCTATCTCCTTTCGAGTCTCTGCCAGCAGAAAAACCAAGGGAACTCTTGCAGGTCGAAAGAGTCGTGGAGAGGGGAGAGAGGGGAGGGGAGGGGAGAAGATTGGTATAGAGGAGTGTCGACGGGATATCTGCCTCGTAACGAATGTGTCGAAGGAGTGTAAGGGGATCTCCTGGGATTGTCGAGGGTGTTTTAGTATAGCCAGGAGCTCATCATTCGCAGTTATACTAAGTTGAGTCTGCGAAAGAAGTAATTCTGTCCATCGATGATAATGATGGAAGGTCGAGGGGTGAGATCGATGAGGTAGGTAGTAAGGTAGTAAGGTAGGAGGACGATTGATTAGATGGGGAGGGTAAAATGTAGTACGAAACACAATTCGACAAGAGGGGGAAAGGGGTAGTCATGTAGTTCTCAGGAAAGAAGCGAGGGTGGAGGAGAGGGAGATCTGGAAACAAGATGGAAGACCCAGAGGATTGGACGTGATCACTGTAGTGATAGGAGCGGACCCGTTTTGAGGTGGACACTGGGACACAAGCTAAACGAAAGGAAGGATGATCGGAGTACTACCGCCTTTTGGGGAGGGAGAGGAAGAGAGGGGGGAGGAGGGGAGAGTAGAGAGGAGGAGGAGGGGGGGGGGGTGGAAGAAAGAGGAGGAGTAACTAAACGAAGGAATAGAGGAGTCTAACGCTTCTGCTTTCTAGTAAAGAAAGGTAAGAAATGGCAGAAATGGCAGAAAGAGGTAAAAAGAGGAACCCCCCTGACGCGGTGACAGCTTTAGCAAAGACCAAGCAGGACGAGCGAGGCCTTGGGTCCGGCCCGTGGAGACCTTCAAGGTAAGGTGAAGAAGCGGTCGACGACGGGGCGAATTTTGGGACAAGATGAGATGGTGCAGATCCCAGACCGATAATAGTGCGAGTTATTATATTTTGCAATTTAGGTGCGGATTTTTCTTATTTTTATTTTTCCTCATTGAGGGATTGACAGTGCTGACAGGGACATTGTCGTTTTTAATTCTTGAATGTAATTTGCATTCTTTCTTGCTTTGTAGATATAGTGTTGTGTTGTGAATGAATCTGATCATGGATAAAATACGTAGGGACTCATTCCCCTCGGGGATTGATCACCACACCTGGAAAATGGAGCGATGGTGATGCTGAGGGTTAATGCGGGAAGACTCAACAAGAGGTTGGGGGGTTGGGCGGTGATGGACTGATGGCGCTCTAAGAGTGGATGGGGAGAGGGGGGGAAAGTGGAAAAGGAAGAGGGAAAAGAAGGAAAGAGGGAAAAGAGGAGCAGTGAGGGAGGAAAGGCAGACAGAAAAGAAGGCGACAATTGATGTGTTGATTGACCGGACGCGACTGGTCAAGTGCAGACAGGCAGATACACTGTGTACAGTGTACACATACACATACACTACACAATACTGCAGTCGTAGTAGATACATACACCAACTGGAAGACTGAGAGTCTGAGACTGATTCATCAAACTCGCCATCGTCATTCGCTCCATTAACGTGCTAGACTGCTAGTATGGCCGCTAAGCTGTCTGCGTCAAACTCGTCGTACGTATGCTGAGGGTTTGGAATAATCACTAGCTACTAATAATAATAAGATGGAGCGCGCTCGCGAGAGACAAAAATACCCTCCCAAGTCCTCGTAAAACCTCCCGACGCAACCATCCACATAGAGAAAAAAAAACAAATAAATAAATAGAGCCCAATGCAGTGGAAAGGAATAAAGTAACGAACGGCTGTGTTCCTCGTCTTTCACATCCTCTCCACCTTACCCTAACCATTTCCGACGACTGGCGAGGAATGGTCGAGCGACGGAAGAGGTCCACCACTCCAACCAGGGAAATTGAAAAGGAGTTCATAGGTTCTCCTCTAGGTTCCTCATCGTCAGGGCCCTGAACGGGCGGCAATCTCAGCATGTGGGAAAGTACCGAAAATGTCAAGATCACAACATTGTAAATGATATAAGACTTTCCTGCCCGTGACTATGCTGCAGCAGCACATTGATCAGAATAGGATTTTTGATATGACGACACCCCCATCTGATCCGTAGCGACTCGATTCACATCAGAAACGAGAGGTGGATTCATGCTGCAATTCATTACATCATGGTCGAGCAGAAGGAAACCTTCCTGCGTGATTTATTTGATTTTTTTTTCTTTTTTTCGCTTTTTTTTCCCCTCCCTTTTTTTTTCATTCCGTGTCACTGGGTAAATGTTTTGTTTTTCCTCTGGTGGCCGCAGCGCAGCTCGCAGCATCTGGAGAATACGGTAATTTCGGTACACATCTGCTGCACCCGGAAAAAAGGGTCATCAACTGTTTCTGCTCTTCTAGCGCTGGGAATGAAGAGGAACCAAACTCACTTAGGGAGGTCATTATTCCAGGACCAAACTGTCCACCCTGGGGCTAAGCTCTCTTGGGTATGCATCTCTTGCTCTAGCCAATAATCGCCACTTATTTGTGCACTACAACAGACACTATAAAGCCATAGTGCGCCCATTTATAGGGAAGTTTGACGGTATGGTACTGTCACAACGAGTCACAACGGAGGACATACCCGATTGTTGATTAGCCATTCATCCTCGGTTCATCGCTGCTCGGGTTCTCATTCGCAGCCACTGACTGCATCACCTGTGCCTTCCTTTCCTTTCCTTAAATCCTGCGGCGCAACGCTCCGATCAATCGGGCGAGTCAGGTCACACCAGTGATTGAGCAATGAAAGAAAAGAAATTTGTATCGCCAACCCGATCCCATCACATCCGACGCTGACGAGTGCGCACAATGACAGAGTTCACCCTAGGATAAGGACTGTCTAGGGCTAAACCTTCCGCATCCAGCCGAATCAAAAGGGGGCAGCAACGAGAAAAGAGGCACCCAGTCAAAGAGTCCCAAGAGGCACTAAGGACGAATCAGTCCTAGAGAAAGCTCCGGAGACCGTAAAATACCAGTCGCCTACAAGGACCTCAGACGGTCCAGCCTTAATGAGCTCCACTTGGACTCCGCCTCTAGTGATCGTTAGACGGGCGCTAGCAGGGATGACCAGGGGTTGGGCCGCGTTTTTCTCTTTCCCTCTGGGCTGCAAATGGGTGACGCTGGTGCTGCTGCCAGTGCTGCTAGATAGAGCCTAGAGATGGCACTGGCAGTTGTCCCTCACAAGGCTCCATGATCCATGATCCATGATCCATGATCCATGGTCCATCCCACTCCCACCAACCCGTCCCACGCAGGGTCCCGGATGGTCGAGCTTCCAGGAGGGGACTCAAGGATCGAACGATCTCACGAGTTTGACAGGTTGATTATGATTGAGGGGAGCGGCATTTCATTTCTCGCGTGGCAGCTCGGGTCCATCAACGACTATACGTACCCATTCCCATACTGACCGATGAGTGTGTGGGACGTGCATTACCTCATCGCCTTATCGAATCCCAAGGAGACGAGAGGAATAAACACTGATGGGCCACACTAAACATAAGATTTCAATATGTGTTTCCTTGCTGATCTATAAGTATGAACTGGCCGGTGGACAAGTCAGGATTCTGCCTACCGGTTTTTTGTGGCATCCAACTCAGAGGCCACCTTCAGAGTTGGCAGACAACAAGTAGCCTATGAGTCAGGCCCACAGACTAAGCGGGAATGAATGGGGATAGCATTGTGCGCGGTTGCAGTTCATGCAGGTGGTAGTTTCTATCTGGATCCGTGGGTAGTCTTCATTCTCCATCTTCAAAGCAACAAAAAGTTAGTGGCTGGACATGTATTGTGTATGGCTATGGAGCACCCAGGGTGGCTGACCGCCACCATGGCACCGCTGTCCGTAACATCTGATCTTCCATCCCACCCGGACGACTAGGTCTCTGTTATTCGGGGAATAACTCGTGGAAGTGGCTTGCATCTGTGCCCCGGAGGGACTTCTGGAGTAAGGCAAGGCCGCGGATTTCCCCTCTTGAGCATTGCGTGTCTCTCTAATTGTTTTAGACTCAATTGAAGGCACAAAAAAAGACGCAACAGCCTGTCGCTTCGTGGCTGACGACCGTTCTACAGTACAGACGCCATCAGTGTTTCATCACAAAGAAAATAGCCTCCCCGGGGAAATTGCTTCTTATGCTTCCCCGAGTGACCGGAGATGAAGCATTGCCCTGAGAGGCTGAGTACTTTAGTCTGTTAGATCCCCAGGCTTTGGAACAGCGACTCAGGGTTGTATCGAACGTGTGATCGGTTTGACGCCGTAACCTACTCCTAGCATACTCCTCAGTACTCGTAGTTGTAGTATGATACAATAAATATCGCCTTCAAAGCAATAATCATGTATGGAACAAATGTCTCGATGTATGTCTAGAGGGGTGGCGTCTGATCCATGGCTACAGTAGGCAAAACACATATTACCGCATTGGGAGATTGAGCATCGAGAGGTCCACCCCCCCAATGCACCCATCACAGTTGATACTTCAGAGAGCCCCAGCGCAGCTGCACGCCGATCAGCTGGATGGATTCTAATCTGCGATTCAAGGCTGACTCCAATGAAGTATGCAGCTGAAAGAATGATGCTTGGATGCATAGCACTTAGGCTTCACATATTGAATTTATCGTACATGAGGCGATATTGATCAGCTGTAGCTAAAAGCTGCGAGATCAGATCCGGTCGTCCGGTTCAAAGTACGATGAGCTATCCTCAGCTGTCCAGGGTCTGGATCGTTTGCGATGAGTTACTACAGCTACGGGCTGATCCTCCTGCCTCGCTGTGGGTTTCGCCACCCAGGTCACGGAACTCATTCTTGAGTATGATAGTCTAGTTGACGGAATGGGTAGGAGTCGACCACCGTTCACGGTCTCAGTTCGAAGCTTTCGTCTAATCCTGAGCGTGGGGTGACCCAACTCGTTAGTTTCGTAGTCGTGATATTGCCAACCTCATGACCGACCAAGCAATTGTTGCCGCTAGTCGCGTTTGCTCGGCTAACCGCTAACCTTGAACAACCTGCTTCTCTGGCCCATCAACTTAGTAGTATGTATCCGGATGCGACCACACCGTGCAAACAGAGTCAGTCACAGTCCGAGGCATAACATGCCACAGTAAGGGCGTAGGCTACGACGCTTCCCTTGGCAACATCAGGGATCAGTGAGCCAGCAGCTGTCATCATGGCTGATGAGACGGGTTGTGGGAACATTTCCGACTCAAGCGAACATCCAGATTGAAGTTTGCGGAAATCCGATGTGCTCCGGAGACCGTACGGTGAGTGATTCTAATTCCAGTATGGATTCGCTAACTCCCTACTAATCTATAGTCGGTTGACTAACCGTTCAACGTTGGCGGATGGCGCCAGAGGGAGGAAGAGAGAAAGAGAGGAACGGAGTCGACGGCCCGTCACGGTAGTCACCGCCTCTACCTCACCTTGCCCATTCTCTCTGCCCCGAAGCTATGCCAGTCACCGTCTTTTTGCTTTTCCTCTCTCTCCATTCTTTTCTGTTCTTTACCGTTCTTTTGACCCTCCTTTTCACGCCATTCTCTTTCCTATCAAAGAATAAAGTGGCGGGGGAGGGGCAAGACGCGTGGAGGGGCTGTCTGCGAACAATCCGGAGTGCATACTACTGGATCCTGTCAAGTTGATGTTTGATACTCCGCCTCTCCTAAGTACTAACTTGACTACTAAACTGCAATTGTCTCTCTGTTTTCCTTTGGCGGTGTTTGTCTGGTTTAGGGAGCAATGTCCGCTACTCCGAAACAATCTGAACGGCACTACGTCCAGTACTATAGTTTAGTTACTCCGAGGTTTGTTGTTTTCCCCTTACTAATATCCTTGGTGCCCTTGGCTACCAGCTTTCTGGAGGGTTGAGTTATTGGCAATCAATAAAAGCACCATGCAACTAAACAAGCAGCCAAACACCCGGCGAGATTACTCAGTCGAAAAAGGGTTGGAAGTCAGCCATGAACAACCTTGAATAAGATTTCTGGGAAAGCTTCGGGCACCAGCGCAGAAAGGGAAGAGTGGATTGACTGGTCCGGAGCACTAGACGACGGGACGCAGGAATGACTCCTCTTCCTCGATTATTCATGGAACATGGACGGACCATGGACATGACTCCATGCGGCCATTCCTATTCCAAACACCACCTTACCTGGACTTAAGAGAGGGGTGGGGTCTCAATGCGAGAATGATTCGTGTGAGGGAGGAGACAAGTGGATGCTAGTGGAGTCAATATGGCGGCCTTTGTTTGCACCGGGGCGTTCGGGGAATGCGGATCCCCACTCGGTGTAGTTTCCGTCTCCGCTTCCCGACCTGCCCGGCTGACCAGTGGTGGTGGTCTGAGTGGAACTCTCCTGTCTCGTCGCAACATCTCCCATCTCCACGCTGGCGACTCTGCCTTCTCGTTCACCGTCTTCTCCATCCTTAGCATCCTTAGCATCCTACACTGCTGCAGCCCCGCCTATTCTAAGCTGCTATCGCTTCTCTTAGCTACCTTAGCTATTATACCAAGGACGACTGCGGTATAGCTTTCGAAGCCGTCGCATTCTACCAGAGTTCTAGAAGGATCATAGCAGCTACGTGGAAGCGGAGTGGAAGGATCTACAGGGGACAGAAAATCGCTCAATTCCTCCCGTAGGGCAAGAGAGAGAGAGAGGGAGGGAGAGAAAGGATACTCTCGATCCCCTGCATTCCCAGTGACCGTTGGCCCGGATGAACTGCGGCAGCCATTTCCACGCCGCATCATGGAGGATCAACCCAACTTCGCCTGCGCAAGACACGGCTAAACATGTTTCTGGAACGCCACTAAGGATTTCCACCAAGAGAACTAGTCTATGATAGTAGGTCCTTTGTCCTGCATTTGAGAAACCTTCGCCACAAGCACAATGACCAAAAGTACGGCTTTCCGGAAGGGATCTCGTATCGTATGGACCACCGCCAGCCCTATTCCTCCCCTATAGCTGCTACGCTGCGTGTTTCGCCAAAGGACTAGGTGTTTATGAGTCTGCGTTTGTAGGAATTGACTAGGGTAGTCCGGATGATGGCACTTCAGGGGCTATTTTGATCAGTCATCCGAGTTAAGAGATCCTTCTTCTTGGTCATTAGCCAAGCGAAATGAGACCTGGCGTCCCTGGACGCTGGGATGAAACATGATTGCTGGACGAGCGGCTGTGCTTTGCAGTAGGGACCAGGGTGCCTGCAGTCCTCCCGCGATGCTGCATGCCAGATCGGCCCTGATCCCGTCAATATGATGTCGGAGGCAAACGACGGACGACGGACGGACAGCGTCCCCCCTGATACCTGTGCCTGGGGGCCTCTTATCCACTTTCGGAATTGATGTGCCATAGCAACTGTAGGTATAGCTATCTATCTACCTGCCACCTCAGTGCAGATGTCATCCACTCTTGACGTGTATCATCTTCATCTTCTGCATGCCTAACTCTTACATCATATTCATTAACTAACTATATCTCTCTTCTGTTATATGTAACACAGTCCGAGCTTTCCGCCGCTGTTAGCATGACAGCTGTGTCATACCAGCCTGTTTGGCTCTCGGGGGTTCTGGCAAACGGCTTCGGGATGGCCGGGTGGTTTCCGGGGGGACTGTCCTCTGCCTTGGATTCATTATCGACAGTTTCAGACGTAAGCTGTGAGCACTTTCAAAGTCCCTGGTGTTGTGTGTCATGAGCCAAGGACGGTTCTGTGTCACTCGGACAGTATGTATTGTACTGGGGCTGCAAAGCATGAGCATTGACAAACGACAACACCAAACAATAGCATCGTGATGGCAGCATAGTTGCTATGTTGTCTTGCTTTGAGAAATGTACCATGCATGTATAATCTGTGTCATAGCACAGACTGTCTTGCTTTTTCCGGGTCAAATAGCACTAAATTCGTTCTTCAGGTGGGCTTCCGTGTGTGATTGTGATTGTATACAACAAGTTCTGGCTAACACCTTCCCAAAACAGAAATATATAGACTGAGCTGAGACTGGCTCTTTGGCAACTCACCGACAGTGCTCTGGCTCTCAATCGTATCTGTCTTAAGGGGAAGACAATCTACTGGGCCGTACTGCTGGAGATGGCAGAGAGCGACTGGATATATTCACTGGCTTGTTCTGACACCGGGGGATTACAACACACCAATCACCACGACGACGGTTCCATTCACTCAACATCACTGAGGCCCAGCCAACACAACCACAACCTCAGTGCGCTCCCTCTCCTCTCTGATTCGTGTTTCTCACCGCGTTTCCGCATTCTGGATCGTCTCTGAAGTCGTAAACTACAAAGCACGTGACATCACGAAGACCTACAGCAACCATGAGTATGACCAGGAAGCCTCCCAGTGCCTACGGAGGCGGCTACAGTGACGCTCTCAGAGAGCAGTATGTCCTCCTAGTGACCGAAACCTTTCTTGACATACCCCTCTGACTCTTGTGACTCTGATATAGGATCGACAACACTATCATCCCGGAGAAGTCTGGATAACACCCGTCTGATATATCTGATATTAGCCTCGCAACTGACTAGATGGCAGAGTCAAGTGTGCCAGCTGCAAGAAGTACCGTACCGTGGCTTCTTACTCCAAGCGCCAGCAGGAAATCATTCGCCATGCCATCGTGCTTCGGGGCAAGCGAGCCGCTGACGGTGGATGCGAGGCCCGCTGCCGCCAGTGCATTGGTGGATGCATCGTCGAGCTCCAATGTTCCATCTGCGACAAGACCAAGACTCTGGAGCATTTTGCGAAGAACCAGCGTGGAGATCGTGATACCGCGGTAAGTTCTTACAGATCTATCCATTTCGAGGCATCGGGGTGTTCTGACTGTATCCGCCACGTACAGAGATGCCTGAACTGTGTTCAGAACGCCTTGGAGGTGGAGCCGATGCCCGAAAGACAGCGGCAGTTCTCAGGCAACCTTACGGCTACGGCCAGCGGCACTACAACCGTGAGTATCGAGTTGTTCCATAAACGGGCTCTAGAATGCGTTTTGTGGTTGACTTAAGCATCGAGCCAGACTGGAGTTACTGCTTTGACCCAGTCCGCTAAGAAACTGAACATCGCTGAGAACCGCTCCTTCGATGACGGTGCCGATGACGAGAATGCCGGCGGCGAGGACGGGGGCCGCAAGACCGAGGGCGCCCTGGTCATCACCAAGAACGATCGCGAGTACGCGGGACACGGTCCTGATGGCCAGGTGTTTCAGGTTGCCACTCCGGACAAGAAGGTTCCGGAGACTCGTTATGAAGATTATTTCAATAACGAGCCTGAGAAGATCCAGCCCGACAGATCCAACGGCAAATGGGCCAAGATCCCTGTAGGTTGGGGCAAACAATGAAAGAAACTTTTCGTGCTAACTGACTATGTACAGGGCAGACGCGTTCCCAAGGGCAAGGAGCCTTCCATGCGTGTTCCCGAGCCTAACGACGATATTATCCCCTCGGACGAGGATGAAGACGAAGAAGATCTCGAGAATTGGCTGTAAGCGGGCCATGCGCCGGTACACAGGTGTACTCCAGGTACAACCAGGGGTACATGTACAGCTCCAGATAAAACTTCTTGATCGTTCTACCGACATCTTTCTGCTAACGTCTTTTGATCACTTCATTCTCTGATTGCATGTTGCTCCTGCCACTTGGTTTTCGCAATGCACAGATGATGTTGATGCACAGCAGCTGATATGCGTGGTGGGAAACTGGTGGTGGATGAGCTTGTTTTGCCGTGGCTTTTTGTATTTTCTGATCTCGCAACAATGCAACCCTGAGTTTTGACATTTCTAACTCGGTTCGCTTGGTTTACTTAAAATCCTTAAATATTGAACGGTCCTAGGAACCTACCTGGGGCTACCCAGGGACTAAGGCGGCCCGTTGCCCACCAGCGTACCATGGTTGTCACCAATCTGGCTCACAAGGGTCGAGGGCCAAAGCTCGAGAACACGCTCTGGCGAGTACGTCAGCATCCCTGTATCTTTTGATGTACTTCGAGGTATATATCCTGACTGACATTGGCCCATGAAGTACAACCCAGACGCACGACCTCCCCGAGTTGCATTGCATTGAGATGTCTACAGCCACTGAGGCGATTGATGGACATGGAGGATATCCGAATATGGTGGGAGGATGAAGTGGCATGGTGTGCGACCCTCGAATCCGGGGGGTTTTGACCGGGGGAGGAGTCACTCGCATACCAGCTACTGCTGCTTTTTTGGAGGGGAGGAGATGGTGTTTTAGCACGCTGATTATTTGATTTTATTTATTTTTTTTTTTGCTTTCCCCGCATATCCGCCGACTCTTGCATGACGTATGGCAGAATATGAGAATTCTTATCTTTCCCTTCTTCGCTGCTGCTGTTTTCTCCCATCTTCTGACATTTTACTTCGGACTACAGATTCTATTTTTCCGAGCGCTCCACCAGGGTTGCCCTGCTTGCTTTTTGGCAGTCTTTTCTCCACCTTGACTTTTGCCCAACTGGCAAGTACAGTACATGGTAGATTATTCGTTAGACGGTTTGTTTCAAGATCCGCCGCCCGTTTTGCCTGCCTGCCGCCCGCCGCCCCTCCCTCCCTCCACCCTCTCTTGGTTTCTCTCTTACTCTCCCGATTACTCTGAAGACTTTCTTTCTTTCTTCCATTCTACCCCATTCTTTGCTCCTCCCACGGAACACACCAGAAACAAAATTAGTCGCCTCGCCACACCAGCGTTGGATTCCTTTGCCGTTGTTCTACCTTAAGCCCCTCCCCGCCTCTCTCTTTGCGGTCCCAGCGTTTCATCCCAGTACCATAGCATCGATGATCACCCTGTGCCGGTACTAGAGCGCAGGGCAACAATCTCTTGACTTTGCCTTTCCACCTACTACCCCGACTCGATGGCGTACAACGGCTTTCCTAATAATGGCGGCTCATATCCCCAATATCCACACCCCAACCATCTGAATGCCAACGAGAACCGCGCATCCGCATACACTCCTCCATACCCAGCGCAATACCCAGCGCAATATGGTTCTGACCAACCGAATATCCCTCAGCCGCAGGTGCCTCCACGACCCTCCTCACCGGGCAACTTTTACAACAAACCGCCATATGACCCCAATGCTTGGCAGCAGCCCCAGCAACAACCGCCTGCCGGAAGAATCAATGAGGCTGTCAACTCGGCCTTCCGCCAGGCTGATACACCGGCGTATCTGTCTCCGGATGTGGTGTCGCAGATCACGGCGACGGTCATACAGCAGCTGAAAGCAACGGGCTTGGACGGTTTGCACGGCGATCAACAGCACCCGCCAGTGTCGTCGCCGCACTGGGCCCCTCCTCCTCCCCCGCAGTCCGCTACCCCCGCCTATGGAGAATCGACATATCCCACCACGGCTCCCCAAGCTGCTCCTCCACCGCCTCCGCCCAAGGTCGGCTCCGATTCTAGTGACTATCCGACGCCCATGCCGCCCACAGGGCGCCCGGCCAGTCCCCATCTCTACCCGGGCCCATCTTCTGGGCCTTCGACCGACCGCCGCGGCTCACCTGCGAGTCAATTCAGTGATCATAGCCATAGCGTAGAATCTTCCCGGCCAAAGGCACCATCGCGAGAGGTTACAGTGACGGAGATGACAACGTTAGAGAAGATCTGGGGCAAACTGTTTGACAAGGGCAAGCCAACGGAGAGGCTGGGCCAGCTTCTACGTGGAGTCGCGGTTCATCTGGTAAGCACGTTCGCTCGACGAATATTTCGGGCACATGAGGTTGACTGGTTAAATAACAATAGATCGAGGACTATCCACCTGGCAACACCCTGGTTGTCACTCCCGAGAAACTACAGAAGTTCTACGCCGATACCAATATCTCGTCCGATCCTTATCCCTGGCAAGGTTAGTAGGGTTATGTTGCCGACTCTGAACGGTGCTAACTCAGTCACAGACATCTTCGATGACCGTACATCTTCCATTTCAAGGCTGTTCCGCGAAGTGGAGGCGGAACATCACCTCGTGCAAAACAAGCTGAACGAGAGACCAGATATTCCAGGCCTGACCCCGCGGGGGTTCGAGCGATGGGCTACTCTGATGATTCAGGCCCACCCTGAGAAGGAGTATGAGCGCTTCCAGAATGCCGTTCTGAATATGCCAATCAACAATCCCGATAATCGAAGAGAGCGCTTCCCGAAGGAGATTCCACGACGACTGTTCCCGGACATACCTAACTTGTCGCTAAGGGAAGAAGTGGATCAGTTTATCATGCGACACTGCGGCGTCGACCTGCCTCCCATCTCTGAAGAGGAACTGAAACAGGTTGCGGAACAACGCCACAAGAAGGCTGCACACAAGGCTTCAGTGAGCTCGGTGGACTCCGCTGCGTCGCTAAGTGAGCGCGAGCGTCAGCCGTACCATACCACATCGGCGACCGCCTCGACGGCTGCTGTGGTCGACGATGAAGAGGACAAGGAGGTGCCTTCGCGACCAATCGAGCGCCAAAGAAAGCCATACACAGCACACCCGGGCGGTGGAAAGGTCTACGACGAAGGAGGCTCTGCCCCGCACCGTCATGCGGGCTCCACCACAAGCTCTGGCCCACGAGACAGTCCCACCTTGTCTGCCACCCGCGCGCCAGACACATATAGCCAAGACGTTCCTCATTACCGCGTGGGGACTCCCTCGTCACAGCGCCCGGCCACTGCTTTCACCCGGCCGCGCAGTCCGCGCGGTGGCAGCGGTGGCACCGATTATCGTCACTCGGAGAGTGATCTCTTGGCCCACAGCGGAAACACCAGATATGGTGATGGCGAGTATTACTACCGATCGAACAACTCCGCGCATCCGGGAGACATCATTGAGGACCGTCGGCGGTACAAGGACCTTGATCCGGAGACGGAGGATCAGAGACTCTACGAAGCCATCCGGGAGCGCGACAAGGAGAAGAAGCGGAGCAGCTGGGGTGCAGACGAGGATTATTATGGCAGCACCCCGATCGGCAGCACCGGCAGCACCGGGTACGATTACAAGACCTATGGATACCGGTGAATTCGAAGAAACTTTTTTTTGGTTTGTCTGCTTTGGAAAAGATATCCATTGTGCGTGCGTTTTGTTTAGTTTTCGTGTGTATTTCGATAGCGCTGTGTTGTTTGTTACGACATGATGATAACGTTTACGACTGGCCCTTCGCTTCTGCAGTGGGATTAGGGAACACATTCTTAGCCACGAGTCAGTCCTTGTATTAGGAACATTGTATCAATAACATTCGTTGATGGTGTTTAGTCCGGGTATCAAGGTTCAGGCTCAAAATATACACATAGCTCATGGCTCACCCAAAAGACACACACACACCACAAAAGATATATACATAAGATGAAAAACTCAACCCCCCCGTTTCCTGGATCCATCCCCATCCCCATCAGTCCCCCTCTTCACCCCCCCTCCTCCCCAGCACCCGCATCAACTCCACCCCGGCCTCCCGCACGACAGCCGCCTCCCTCTCCCTCCTCCCCTCCTCGACCTCCCACCGCCCCCAAATTTTCCGGCAGTCGCGCTCCTCCCTCTCGACCCGCCGCCTCCCCCGCCGCCGACATCTCGCCACCTCCGCCTCGCCGCGCTCCTCTTCAGTATCCGCCTCGCACCGCAACCGCGCCAGCTCTTCCGGCGCCAGCACCCACGGCGCATCCAGCACCTCGACCCGGAACCGATTCCGCCGATCGAGAAACCGCATCTCCGCGTTGACGCCGCCGCGCAGCAGGGAGCACCGCTCGAGCTGCAGCTGCATTCTGTTGTGGCGGTAGGTCGAGAGCGTGCCTTTCAGGTGCGCGAGGGCGCCGGGGATGAGGGGGTGGATGTCGAGCGGGAGGGCGGTTGTTGGGGAGATGTGTTGCGGTGCGCTTGCGCTTGCGCGTGCTGTGGTTGGGTCTGGGGAGGTGGATGCTGGGCCGGATGCTTCCGCGGGGCCATCGGCTTTCTGCACGACGACGTCGAGGACGGCGCCGCTGCTGTCGTCGAGGGTGAGCACGGTCACGCGCGGGTACTCGGTGCGCGCGGTGATGAGGCCTGCTACGGCGATGAAGTGGATGGGGTGGTTTTTGTGGAAGAATATGCCTTCTTTTTTTTTTTTTTGGTGTTAGTCTAAATGCTGACGGGTAGGTAGGGGG